GGCTGGAGAGATGGCTTAGCAGTTAAGAGCACTGACTGCTCTTGCAGAGGACCCGGGTTTGATTCCCAGCACCCACAGGGCAGCTATGAACCGTCCTCAACTCCAGTTCCAGGGGAATCTGAAGCCCTCTTCTGAACTCTGCGGCATTGCACGACACAGGTGCACTCACATACATGCAGGCAATACACTCATACATATAAAATAAAAATAATAAATACCGGGTGTGGTGGCCCATGCCTTTAATCCCAGCACTCAGGAGCAGAAGCAGGCAGATCTCTGTGAGTTCAAGGCCAGCCTAGTGTACATAGTGATTAAATAAATACATAAATAAATAAAATATTAAAGAAAAGAAAATGGAGGTGGGGCTGGAGAGATGGCTCAGAGATAAGAGCACTGGCTGCTCTTGCAGAGGATCCAGTTTCGGTTCTCAGTACCCACATGGTGGCTAACAACCATTAGTAACTCCAGTTCCAGGGGATCAGATGCCTTCTTCCAACCTCCACAGGCATTGCACTTACAAATATGTAGTCAATACACTCATGCACATAAAACAAAAATAATAAATAAAATATTTTTTAAAAAGGAAAATGGTAATATGTAACATGATACATATGTTAATTGTCTGAATTCAGCCATTATATGACATACGTGTTTCAAAATACGGTATATGCCATAAATATACGCAAATTTAATATGTCATTTAGCATTTTTTGATTAAAAGAAGAAATCTTATGAATTTTTTTTCTAATAGAGTCGTACAGTTATTCTTTTAACAAAGTAATATAACTGGGAAATCCACAGCATCTAAGTTGTCTTTCACGTTACTTATTCAGTAATTTCAATTTATCATTTATATTAAGCAAGTTTTTCTTTCCTTTGTAGGCAGTTAGTCCTTTACTGTTGATGACAGATACTTCTGACGGTTCACCCATTGGGAATTACATGGGCCTTGTCAATACAATTTCCCAGAAGGAAAACCTACCTGTAAATTATGAACAGAGTGGCTCCAGTACTCAGGGGTGAGATGTTGTTTGACTTTTCTTTCTGTTTCATTGTATCTAAGCAATAAAGCTTAGGTGTTTTCATGTGGAGTTTCCAGAAGTATTTGTTATTTTTATATATTATTCATGGAAGGTTTTATATGACTTATGAATAAACTCTCTTTAATTAAAATGCTTAATTACCAAAGCTGTGGGGTCCACTTGAATGAAATTTGGGTGATTCTTTACGGTAATCCCTCCTTACCCCAGTTTTGCTTTCTGCAGTTGCAGTCACTTCTGGTTAACAAGAAGGGGTAAGCACAGCACAATAAGGTATTCTGAGAGAAAGACACTGTTATACAAGTAAGATTAGAGTAGATTGCCATAACTGGTTTATTGTATTATTAATTGTTGCTAATTTCTTATTATGCTTAACTTAGGAATTAAGCTTTATTATAGTTATGTATGAGAAAAAAAATCATTGCATATATTTATAGGTACTATCCATGGTTTCTGTCATCCATTAGGTTACTGGAATGTGTCCTCTGTGGATAAGAGGGACCACTGTATTTCTGAAGTGAATCTGAATGGTTGGTCTATTGAACTTAAAAGATAAGAAATGAAAGATAAGAAAGAAAGGCCCAAGCGGCACATATTCTGAAGGTCACTCTGGGGTACTGTTCTATGAAGAGTCTCAATGATTCACTTTTTATTCTGATGGCTTTTGGACCAGAACCAGGTGAAAAAAATGTGATAGTATTATTGGAATAAAATACTTGTAAGTGAATTATTGGGCTGGAGAGATGGCTTAACGGTTAAGACTGCTTGCTGCTCTTTCAGAGGAACAGAGTTTAGTTCCCAGAATCCATGTTGGGCAGCTCAAAACCACCTGTAACTCCAGCTCCAGGAGACCCAGTGCCATCTGACTTCTGCAGGCACTTGCACTTATGTACACATACTCACAGACATACACACACCTATACATAATTAAAAATAAAATAAATCTAAAACCAAGTGAATCGAGAGAGCTATCTTCAGTCATTGAAACTATTTTTTGTTCTGTAGCTCCCCTTTTTGATTCCTTTGAATTAAGCATTCCAATATTAGATGTGGAAAAAAGAGAGAAGTCTATTTGGGGTGACTGGACATAACAGGAGCTATAAAAACAATCCCAACTTTCAGCCCAGTTCTTTAAATTCAGGAACTTAAAGATAAGAAGATTCACCTAGTTGGGTGCATTTCTCTCTACAGCCTCCAAATGAGACAGAAAGTAAAAGAATTGCAAATAGCCAAATAATTTGTCATAGCATACAGTAACTCCATGATATAAATCTCTATGTCTACTGCTTTAAATCTTTTTGTTGTTTTAGGACAGGATGTTGCTATGTAGTTCAGGCTGGGACTTTCCTGCCTTAGCCTCTCAAGCACTGGCTACCAGGCCTGGCTAAACTTTGTTGTTGTTACTGTTGCTTCTACTTAGCAGTACTGGGGATTGAACCTAGGGCCTCAAGTATGCTAGGCAAGCATTCTACTATTAAGTTATAGCCTTATCCCTGCTTCACCTCGCAAGAGTAATTCTTATATTATTGTCCAAGTATCTTTGCCTAACCACAGAGGTCATTAAGTACAAGGAGCAGAGGGTGGGTTTCAGTATTGGGTATTATCTGTACCATGGGAATTTTCTTCAGTTTGGGTGCACATCAGCTGGTGGCACAAAATGTTGAAGTTGGAGCAAAATCCACATTCACTCACCTTCCCCAAAAGCCACAGCACTTTCACCCTCATAGCTTCTGTTGTGTGAGCCCCGCTTTATCATCTGGTTTTCTCATTCCCATTTGAGTAGCTCTGAAAACTTCACTGAATCTCCCCTTTCTTCTCTTCCTCTGAATCTTTTTTTTTTCTTCTTGTAGCCCCAGCTGGTCTGGAACTCGCTATGTAGACCAGGCTGGCCTCGATCTCACAGAGATCCTCCAGCCTCTGCCTCTTGAGTACTGGGATTAAAGGCCTGCACCATCACACTCAGATCTTCTGAATCGTTTTACTTGGTGGAAGTCTCTTTAAAAAAAAACAAACAAAAAAAACAAAAAAACAGGCCGGGCCTTTAATCCCAGCATTCGGGAGGCAGAAGCAGGTCGTCCTCTTTTTTTTTTTTTTTTTTTTAAAAAAAAAAAAAAAAAAAAAAAAAAAAAAAAAACCAAAAAAACAAACCTATCACTTGATACTTTGATATCAGATCTTTCAGTGAGGCAACAAAGAATTAGAAAATGTGAACTGAGACATCAGCTACACATGGAAAGTCAGACAAATTGGCAACAATTTTACTGAGGTTTAAATTGTGTGAGTTAAGAAATATAAATATGCTAAAAATTATGAGTCTTAAATTTTAAGATCTTTGTTATTATGCAGGGTTTTTTTTCAAATTATACTTTAAATTTATAATATTTTTCATATGCAAATGAATACTCTCATTTTTCCCTAGATTTGAGTGTAAATGCAAAATCGGGTCAGTAACATATGGTACTGGTTCCAGTTCTACTAAACAGATGGCAAAACAATTGGCCGCTAAAGAGGCGTATTTTAAGAAAATGTCAGAAAAAAGTTCAATGGTATGTATTGTCAATTAGATTTAATTTTTATATTTTAAATTCCCTCTGGAGTTGACGTCAGGTTGGATCATTTACATAATGTAAAGATAGCCAGTTCTGTGATGACTAGTTCTTCCATTCTGTGTAACACCAATGATGCATGAGCCATGGGGTCATGAGGCCCCATGGGGATAAAAGTCTGGTTGCAGCTCAGGATTGTTTTTCAATTTTAAATCAAACACCCCCCCCCAAAAAAATACACTAATTTTGTAATTGACTGTGGTTGTGGATTTGGTGACCATGGGAAAAATAGGTGTACTGCTGTGTACCCGGAGATGAGCTACAGTAGAGGATAAGTTAGTTACATTTAAACCTCCTAAGGAATGCTCTCTCTTTCAGAAAACTGACCGAACATCATCTGGTGTTTCCAGTTCTTCATCCTATGACTTCTGCAAGTCTTCTGTAGAAAGTTCTTTGTAAGTTCAATCAAGTAGATGCCTGAGGGCTAGGGTTGGGGCTTGTTTGAGGCTGTGAGTTCAATCCCCACCACTGCCCACCCCTCATGTTAGGTATTTCACAATGGTCTGTAACTCCAGCTCCAGATCTAATGCCTTCTTCAGGTCTCCATGGGCACACACACACACACACACAGGACACTCACAGGCACACACACACACACACACACACACACAGGACACTCACAGGCACACACACACGACACTCATAGGCACACACACACACACACACGACACTCACAGGCACACACACACACATATGCACACGAATAAAAATAAATCTTAAAAAATAGACTAAGTTCATACATTAAAAGATACTCCCTTTTCTTCTAGCACTTCTGAGTCAACACCTGAAAGTGATTTCTCGGAAAATGCACCCAAAAGTGACAGTTTCAGCCCCTCTTCTGCATCTCCTGCTTTGGTACGGTAATGGTCTCTAAACTTCTGACTTAATCTTGTTTTCTTACTTAAAAATGACCTTCACTATTATACAACAGTGTTTATATTTTAATCTCGTGAGCTCTTTCTAAATTACGGTATTTAATATTCACTGATACTTTCTTTTTTATTAACTTCCATTATAGTAATTTCCATTCTTCACATTCTTCTATACTTCACTCCCATCCTTCCCTACCCTACTCATTTTGCAAGTCTCCCTTTCTGCCTCCCTCCCTCCCTCCCTCCCTCCCTTCCTCCCTCCCTCCCTTCCTTCCTTCCTTCCTTCCTTCCTTCCAGCTGTCTTTCCTTCATTCTTTCCTCCCTCCCTTCCTACCTTCCTTCCTCTGCTGGGAATCAAATCAGGGTCTTGGGTGTGCAGATCAAAGCTCTACCATTGAACTACCTCCTCAGCCTTCACTCTTGTATTTTTAAATAGTCTTACGATCTTGTCTTTTCTTTCTCACCCAACTGGATAATATTTGATGTAGTTCTACTTCTACTTAAAAAAAATAACTAAAACTTTAAAAATAAGATAACTTGTTATAAAAGTATTCTGTTTATAAACAATTGCAAACTGTAAGAAAAGGACAACTGATTCAGTAGAAAAATTTACATTGTCCAAAGAAACAACAATTTAGAAATTAGACACCTAAGTGGGAAACAAACATGAAATGATACTTTATTTCCTCTAGGAATGAGGAAAATGCAAGTCAAAATAACAATTAGATACATTTCGAAGCTACTTGATTGGCAAAATTTAAGTCTTACAATAGTAAGTGCTAGTGCAAGGCTGGATAGAACTGCAAACAAGTGTGAATCTAGTAATCTTACAGACTAGGGAACATGGTCACAGAGCCAGCTCAATAATTAAGATGATCACTTCAATCACCTGAAGTGACTTCCTGTTTTCTTCTGTTGTAGAATGGTCTCAGACACCATAAGAAGAAAAAAGTGTGAGTATCGAGATGCATTGGAACATGTTTTGGACCGAGTTTTATTTCAGGCTTTGCTTACTTGTTATCTGTGGTTGTCCTAGTTACTTTCTATAGTTGTGATGAAACACTGTGACCAAAACCAACTTAGGAGGGAAAGGATTTATTTCAGTTTACAATACAATCTTTCACCAAGGGAAGCCAGGGCAGGAGCTGAAGCAGAGATTGTGGAAGAATGCTGCTTACTGGCTTGCTTTCCCTGGTTTGCTCAGCTGCATATCTTACAAAGCCCAGGCCCAGAGATGGCACCACCCACAGTGGGCTGGACCCTCCCATATCAAGCAACAATTTTAAAAAGGCCAATCTGATGGAGGCCATTCCTCACTTGAGCTTCCCTCTTCCTAGTCTGTCAAGTTGACAACTGAAGCTTACCAGAACAGTGGCATTTGTGGACTATTATAATGCTAATTTGAGTGGAGTTCCATAAGAATAGAAAGCTTGAGATCTACAAACTATTTTAACATGAGAGAAATATATTTGAATATATTTACATGTTATAATGTAGATAGAAAACCTTGTGGTAATGCAGCTAGAGTAAGTGATTTAGGGCATTATTTTGAACAGCATTGGTGAGGAAGTGGGCTTGGAAGTGTTTTTTAAAAGAAGTGTATTGTGGGGCTGGAGAGATGGCTCAGTGGTTAAGAACATTGACCGTTTTTGCAGAAGACCCAGGTTCGAATCCCAGCACCCACATGGCAGCTAACAACTGTTCACAACTCCCGTTCCAGGGGATCTAACAGCCTCTTCTGTCCTCTGTGGGCATTGCACAACACAGGTACACTTACATATATGCAGGCAATACAAGCAGGCACATAAAATGCATGCATACACATAAAATAAAAATAATAAATAATTTTTTAAAAAGTATTATTTTACAGACAGATGAGGTAAAGATAGTGTAATTACTTGTTATTTTTAAATTTTTTTTATTTTATGTGTATGCATGTATTGCCTGAATGTAGGTAAGTGCACCTGTGTTGTGCAATGCCCTTGGAGGTCAGAAGAGGCTGTTGGATCCCCTGGGACCGGAGTTACAGACAGCTGTTGGCTGCCATGTGGGTCCTGGGATTTGAACCCTGGCCTTCTGCAAGAACAGTCAGTGTTCCTAACCACTGAGCTATTTCTCCAGCCCCATAACTTGTTGTTTTTTTAAAACCCAAATGCCATGTAAATTATAGTAACTTGATTTGTTTTTTTAATTGATTTTTTTAAAAAAATTTTTGTGTATGTGTGTGCTACCTGCATGTATGTAAGTGTACCACATGCATGCAATTCTCACAGAGGCCAGAAAAGGGCAACAGATCCCCTGGAACTGGAATAAAAAACTGTTGTTAGCTGCCACGTGGGTGCTACTAATAGAACCTGGGTCCTCTGCAAGAACAGCCAGTATGCTTAACCACTGAACCATCTCTCCAGCCCAGTAAATTGGTTTCTTAACTGAAGAAAAAAGCCAAAGATTAAATATAGTCAGAAATGAGTGAGATTACAGCAAGAGCCATAATGAACTACCAATATTTTCTGAACAATAGATAAGAATTGAAGAAAGGTGATTCCTGAGGTGAATGGGTAGAGAAAAAGGAATGTGCATGTCCAATAATTAGGTCCACAGCTCAGCTCAGGTGCCTATGGCAGTGAAGAGGGAAGAGGAGAATTCATGAGGAAGATTTTAAAGGAAGAGTAGATATTACTCAAAGGAATAGACTACAGTAACTGGGTGAGGGGAAGAGGGAGAGGAGGACAGCTGCAGTTTTCTCTGTCAGACAAGGCTGATAGTGTTCAGAAGGTTGAAAACTTGAGGGCTCAGAGGAAAGATAGCAATGTTGCTATGTATAGTTTGGGGTGATCTTTGAGCCTCCCACCAGTGAGGAATGATGGTCAGAAGGAAGGACTCAGGATGCCTTCTTCCCAAGAATGTTCTGATTCTATAGAAAGAGGAGAGGTTCGCAGCATGCCAGTAGTGAATGTGTTTGGGTGAAAAGGGGAACTGGGAAAGGATAAAAAATCAGTTGAGGACAGAAGAGGACCATATGGAGATGGTTTATAAAGTACGTTAACACTTGTTGCTTCTTATTCTAATAATTCATGCAAAATATAAAAGCCAGTCCATGGCATAAAACCTAATCGAAAGTAATATTGACTTCATTTTTATCTGAGTGTTGCATTCTTGTCTTAATTTCAGGAGTTTGGCACCTAAATTTGGTCTTTCTGATACACAAGGAAATGAATACACGATAGAAGAGAGGTAAGTGGGAGCTGTGGAATAGAGTTATTTTACAGTAGATTTATTCGTGCAACAAAGTTAATTCAACTTGTATTTCTATCTATTTGGGCCTAATCAAAACCCCAGAATCTTACTGTCCCTTGGAGAAGTAAGGTTTAGGAATGTGTTAAGCGCAGATCTCTGTGATGTTTATTCATTGCTCTGATATTCATGGAAACTTTTTATTGTGAAAGCCACTGCTCCTTTACATTAGATTTAGAAAGAAAAGAAAGGAGAGAAGGAATGAACGGAAGGGGAACTCCTGCAGGAACCAAAAGGCCCACTTGGATCTGTGTTCTGTTTTTCGGCTCTAGACAAGATTTCATTTGAGAGCTGGGCGTGGTGGCGCACACCTTTAATCCCAGCACTTGGGAGGCCGAGGCAGGCAGAGGATCTCTGTGAGTTTAAGGCCAGCCTAGTCTACATAGCGAGTTCCAGGCCAGCTGGGGCTAACAGAGAGAACTTGTCTCAAAAAGACCAAAGAGAGAGAGAAAGAGAAAGAGAGTGAAAGAGAGAGAGACTATTTCATGTAAAAAATGGTAAGCACCAACTTCAATGAGAGAACTTGTCTCAAAAAATAAGGTGAAGAGTGATTGAGGAAGACACGTGTCGTTGACCGTTAGTCTCCATACACACATGTGCAGATGTGTACACACAACCCCCATATGCACACACCTATATGAACATATATGTCCATCACGCGCACACACACACACACACACACACACACAAATCTGTACTTACCAAATATGGTCAGAGTTCTAAGAAAACAGTAGTATGATAAGCAGAAACAAAACACTTAGATCTGACATGATGGGTTGGTGAGGCAAATCTTCTCCAAGGTCACCTTTGTGGGGTGCAAGCCATGTGCCTGGAGGGCAGTGAACAAGGGCACAGTGTGATGGGATGAGGTTGGAGAGAGAGCAAGGGACTTGCTAGGTGGCACTTTGTGAGCCCTTTAAGGGTTTCCTGGGTTTTTCTGAATGAGAAGGTGTTCTGGTTTGTTTCTTCATTGCTGTGACCAAACACTCTGACCACTACCAACTTGGGGAGGAAAGGATTTATTTAGCTTACATGTTCATCAGGGAGCCCAAGGTAGGAACTCAGGGCAGGAACCTGGAGGCAGGAGCTGGAGCACAGGTCATGGAGGAATCCTGCTTACTGGCTTGCTCCCCTGGCCTCTGCTCAGCCTGCTTTCTTATGCAACACAGGCCCACCTGCCCAGGGGTGGCACCACCCACCGTGGGTTGGGCCCTCCCACATCACTCGTCAAGAAGATGCCCCTCAGACATGGCCACAGACCAGTCCAATAGAGGCAATTCCCCAATTGAGACTCCCTCAACCCAGGTATGTCAAGTTGACACTAAAGCTATCTAGCACAAAAGGATATGGCTAGAAGAGGTTTAAGCAAGAGGGAGACATGATCAAACTAAGTTTTCATCACTAGAGTAGGGCAGGAGAGGAAGTGGTGTATCCAGCCAAGTCTCTGCAGAAGCCCGATGGCTGGGCTGGATGGAGATGTTGGAGGGTGTGACAACTGGGTAGGTTTGGAGGAATTGTCAGACCTTAATGATGAGATGTGGTGTAAGTTGTTATAAATTAAGGCAGGCTCAAAGCTTAGGCTCTCCTCTCTGGTTTGAGCAACTCTTTCTACTATTTTATACTTGGAAGGGGATTATTTTTTCTTCTTTGTGCCCAGTGGGAAGGGATTCTTTATCATATCATCTGTACAGCCAGGGGTTGACTGTGTTCCACAGAGGTAATTTGTTATATTGAATTTTCTATTAAAGGAGGAGAGGGAGGAGGAGGAGAAGGAGATATTGTGTCTGAAGAGTTTCTAGCTGAAGTTATTAAAAATGAGAAGGGAAAATCATTTTCATATTACAGCTCATTTTACATCAGACACCAAGCCTTAGAATAACAGTAGTATCTGTCTTAACTAGATTTGTCAAGCATTTTGAAGAAATAGAAGAAATTGGCTCAGGTGGATTTGGCCAAGTTTTCAAAGCAAAACACAGAATTGATGGAAAGACCTATGCTATTAAACGTGTTAAATATAATACAGAGTAAGTAAATGCTTTACTTTTTTGAATAAAGTGTGTGGAACCTGAACTATTCTTTTTTTATACAAATATTTTTATGTTCTTTGGAAATTTCATGCAATGTATT